GGATGTTCGCCGCTAAAACGAACAATTTCCGAATACCTGAAAGCTGGGTTCATCAACCTGGACAAACCCAGCAATCCTTCTTCACACGAGGTTGTGTCGTGGATTAAGCGTATTCTTAAGCTAGAGAAGACGGGGCATTCGGGTACCTTAGATCCCAAAGTCACAGGTGAGTCGAGGAGAAGTATTTGATGTACTGAAGTTATATGTTTTCAAGTTTCAGAGTAGGGTTTGAAGCGATTTGAATGGATTAGGAAAGCTCAAAGCAGTGCCGTGGCCTCGGTGCTTCACAGTCTCACACAAACCATGACAGGAGTGTTGATTTTACTTACTTGTTTGAGCGAAGATTGCCGAATGGGTCAGCAAACTCCCTCTTTCAAGGCAGTACACCATGGTGGGTTGTTTACCTCAGATAGATTATGAAGTGCAGAGGCTGTGGCACCTTTATTGCTGTTTTATTAGTTTTTCTCTTGTCTTTACAGTGTCTTTTTCAGATACTATTATCATTAGCTCATGCTTTATAAGTGTAGTTGAACTGTTCCATTTTCAGATGTCAAGGTGAGAACAGTAATGGGATATTATCATCTTGTCTAGATTTATAAACCATCATCTTTATATGTTACATAGTATTTCAGTTCAAGTCAGTGATAGTTATTCTTCGAAAGTTCATTCAATGGAGCTCAGGACCCTAGTGGATGATGATAAGGTTTTCTTCAACGTAAATTTTGCGACCTTTTGTTTCAGGTTGTTTGATTGTGTGTCTAGAACGAAGCACCAGACTAGTAAAATCTCAGCAAGGAGCCGGGAAGGAGTACGTGTGTATCTTCCGACTGCACGAGAGCGTAGATAATTTAGCAAGAATTAAACAGGTTGGTAATAATCCTGATCGTGGAAATAATCCCGGTCTTGAAATTCCTGTCAAGGGAGTGTTGTGTTATCCCTCTTCTTTCCAATTGCATTTTTTTATTTATTATTATTATTGTCTTTTGCATAACTTGTTAGCTGTTTTATAAGATGCTTACAAAGGATTGTTGTAATCTTTGATTTTTGTATTAGTCAAATTGCTTGTAAAAGGATGCTAGCTGATATATTCTTGGAAAAGTTGATGTAATTTGCATATCATAGTAGTAGTTATTTTGGTAATGTAAAGTGAGCTGGTTGATAAAGTATATATTTGTAATGTGATTAAAATTTCACTTTAAATAGCCAGTTTACATTGATAAAATATATAAATGAGGGAAAGTAATAACATTTGATATCAAAATGTTAAAAGATTTAGCCATTGTAAGGAACTAATTGCAGCTTTAATATTATAGGCTATTAAAATGCTCAATATCCTTTTAAAAGCTTAAGCAACCATCATACAAGTTGATCAGGAGCTTGTTTCAAGCTGACTCGTGTGACCATTACTTCCCACATGTCAAAGGTCGTGCTTTTCGTATGCATGTCTGTAGCGAGGAAAAAAAAAAAGTCCACGGAATACAGTGCTGTCACTTTATTCCATCATTCTAAACACTGTAGCTGGATGGTAAACCCAACTGTTCTTTTCAAAAGAGTTATGCCACCAGAAAAAAAAAAGAAAATATAACAGGAAAAAATACGGGTTCTTCCCACCCCATCAGCAGTACTGAGCTGGAGTGTTCTTTCCCATAGACACTCGACAAACTGAAGGGGGCACAGTTCCAGAGGCCGCCACTTATCTCTGCCGTGAAGCGTCAGCTCCGCGTCCGGACTGTGTATGATAACAAACTCATTGAGTATGATCCGGAGCAAAATATGGGTATGCTATGTTACATATCTTGCGGCTTTTGCTGCAGAGTGAACGTTTTGTGGTTCTGTCATCTTTTGTTCAGTTTCAGTATGTTTTCATGATTCCATTAGATGGTTAAAAAAAAAGAAAAAGAAAAAAGAATTAGCATGCTCTCTTGATGTTATCTAAACCTTTTCCAAATAAGAAAAAAAAAATTTAAGTTAGAGAAATGGAGAAATGATTTCATTCCAAAATCAAGTCATGGGGTATACAATCAACTATGAGAGGAAAATGTATTTTACAATGTATTTTAAACACCATATAAAAATCAAGATGTGTTGAATATAAGTAGCTTCAGAACTGTATCTAAAATGTATATTTTTCTTGCATAAAGGTATATTTTGGGTGAGCTGTGAGGCTGGCACATACATCCGTACCATGTGTGTTCACCTTGGTCTTCACTTGGGCACGGGAGGTCAGATGCAGGAACTACGGAGAGTGAGATCAGGTGAGGTCCTTGCTGAAGTTTTTAGCAGTCTTTTTAACCTTTTTTAATAGGGTAAGGTGGAGGAGGAAAGGCTGAGATGGGTGAACAGTAAAGAGGGAAGAAGAGGTTTTTGGACAGGAGAAGATAAGGAAAAAATACAGAAACTTAGCTTTGTCTATCAGAGAATGAAGATGTTTGAAGCCTAATTTCACTAATCTACTGTTTGTTTTAGTATCTTCGTAACATTTAGGCACAGAGGCAGTGAT